TCACTCACACTGCTATACAGCGTTAATATGATAAAGGACTACAACATGGGACCACAGAATTCACTCACACTGCTGTACAGCGTTGATATAATAAAGCACTACAATATGGAACCACAGACTTCACTCACACTGCTATCTAGCGTTGATATAATAAAGCACTACAACATGGAACCACAGACTTCACTCACACTGCTATACAGCGTTGATATAATAAAGCACTACAACATGGAACAACAGACTTCACTCACACTGCTATACAGCGTTGATGTAATAAAGCACTACAACATGGAACCACCGACTTTACTCACACTGCTATACAGTGTTGGTATAATAAAGCACTACAACATGGAACCACAGACTTCACTCACTCTGCTATACAGCGTTAATATAATAAAGCACTACAACATGGGACCACGGAATTCACTCACACTGCTGTACAGCGTTGATATAATAAAGCACTACAACATGGAACCACAGACTTCACTCACACTGCTATCTAGCGTTGATATAATAAAGCACTACAACATGGAACCACAGACTTCACTGACACTGCTATACAGCGTTGATATAATAAAGCACTACAACATGAAACCACAGACTTCACTCACACTGCTATACAGCGTTGATATAATAAAGCACTACAACATGGAACCACAGACTTCACTCACACTGCTATACAGCGTTGATATAATAAAGCACAACATGGAACAACAGACTTCACTCACACTGCTGTACAGCGTTGATATAATAAAGCACTACAACATGGAACCACAGACTTCAGTCACACTGCTGTACAGCGTTGATATAATAAAGCACTGCAACATGGAACCACAGACTTCAGTCACACTGCTGTACAGCGTTGATATAATAAAGCACTACAACATGGAACCACAGACTTCACTCACACTGCTATACAGCGTTGATATAATAAAGCACGACAACAAGGAACCACAGAATTCACTCACACTGCTGCACAGCGTTGATATAATAGAGCACTACAACATGGATCCACAGACTTTACTCACTGCTATAGAGCGTTGATATAATAAAGCACTACAACATGGAACCACAGACTTCACTCACACTGCTATACAGCGTTAATATAATAAAGCACTACAACATGGGACCACAGAATTCACTCACACTGCTGTACAGCGTTGATATAACAAAGCACTACAATATGGAACCACAGACTTCACTCACACTGCTATACAGCGTTGATATAATAAAGCACTACAACATGGAACAACAGACTTCACTCACACTGCTATACAGCGTTTATATAATAAAGCACTACAACATGGAACAACAGACTTCACTCACACTGCTGTACAGCGTTGATATAATAAAGCACTAAAACATGGAACCACAGACTTCACTCACTCTGCTATACATCGTTGATATAATAAAGCACAACATGGAACCACAGACTTCACTCACACTGCTGTACAGCGTTGATATAATAAAGCACTGAAACATGGAACCACAGACTTCACTCACACTGCTATACAGCGTTGATATATTAAAGCACTAAAACATGGAACCACAGACTTCACTCACACTGCTATACAGCGTTGATATAATAAAGCACTATAACATGGAACCACAGACTTCACTCACACTGCTATACAGCTTTGATGTCATAAAGCACTACAACATGGGACCACAGACTTCACTCACTCTGCTATACAGCGTTGATATAATAAAGCACAACATGGAACCACAGACTTCACTCACACTGCTGTACAGCGTTGATATAATAAAAAGCACTACAACATGGAACAACAGACTTCACTCACCCTGCTGTACAGCGTTGATATAATAAAGCACTAAAACATGGAACCACAGACTTCACTCAATCTGCTATACAGCGTTGATATAATAAAAGCACTACAACATGGAACCACAGGCTTCACTCACACTGCTATACAGCGTTGATATAATAAAGCACTACAACATGGAACCACAGACTTCACTCACACTGCTGTACAGCGTTGACATAATAAAGCACTACAATATGGAACCACAGACTTCACTCACACTGCTATACAGCGTTCATATAATAAAGCACTACAACATGGAACCACAGGCTTCACTCACACTGCTATACAGCGTTGATATAATAAAGCACTGCAACATGGAACCACAGACTTCACTCACACTGCTATACAGCGTTGATATAATAAAGCACTACAACATGGGACAACAGACTTCATTCACACTGCTGTACAGCGTTGATATAATAAAGCACTACAACATGGAACCACAGACTTCACTCACACTGCTATACAGCGTTAATATGATAAAGCACTACAACATGGGACCACAGAATTCACTCACACTGCTGTACAGCGTTGATATAATAAAGCACTGCAACATGGAACCACAGACTTCACTCACACTGCTATCTAGCGTTGATATAATAAAGCACTACAACATGGAACCACAGACTTCACTCACACTGCTATACAGCGTTGATATAATAAAGCACTACAACATGGAACAACAGACTTCACTCACACTGCTATACAGCGTTGATGTAATAAAGCACTACAACATGGAACCACCGACTTTACTCACACTGCTATACAGTGTTGGTATAATAAAGCACTACAACATGGAACCACAGACTTCACTCACTCTGCTATACAGCGTTAATATAATAAAGCACTACAACATGGGACCACGGAATTCACTCACACTGCTGTACAGCGTTGATATAATAAAGCACTACAACATGGAACCACAGACTTCACTCACACTGCTATCTAGCGTTGATATAATAAAGCACTACAACATGGAACCACAGACTTCACTCAAACTGCTATACAGCGTTGATATAATAAAGCACTACAACATGAAACCACAGACTTCACTCACACTGCTATACAGCGTTCATATAATAAAAGCACTACAACATGGAACCACAGACTTCACTCACACTGCTATACAGCGTTGATATAATAAAGCACAACATGGAACAACAGACTTCACTCACACTGCTGTACAGCGTTGATATAATAAAGCACTACAACATGGAACCACAGACTTCAGTCACACTGCTGTACAGCGTTGATATAATAAAGCACTGCAACATGGAACCACAGACTTCAGTCACACTGCTGTACAGCGTTGATATAATAAAGCACTACAACATGGAACCACAGACTTCACTCACACTGCTATACAGCGTTGATATAATAAAGCACTACAACATGGAACAGACTTCACTCACCCTGCTGTACAGCGTTGATATAATAAAGCATGACAACATGGAACCACAGACTTCACTCACACTGCTATACAGCGTTGATATAATAAAGCACTACAACATGGAACAACAGACTTCACTCACCCTGCTGTACAGCGTTGATATAATAAAGCACTAAAACATGGAACAACAGACTTCACTCACTCTGCTATACAGCGTTCATATAATAAAGCACTACAACATGGAACCACAGGCTTCACTCACACTGCTATACAGCGTTGATATAATAAAGCACTACAACATGGAACCACAGACTTCACTCACACTGCTATACAGCGTTGATATGATAAAGCACTACAACATGGGACCACAGACTTCATTCACACTGCTATACAGGGTTGATATAATAAAGCACTACAACATGGAACCACAGGCTTCACTCACACTGCTATACAGCGTTGATATAATAAAGCACTACAACATGGGACCACAGACTTCACTTCCGCTGCTATAGAAACGGCGGTGAATATCAAAAAGGTAAACTAATCACCTAAGAGGAGAGGAGCTCAGATGTTTAAACTCTGTGACTCACATTCTCTTTACAATTGTTTTCTGACACATACGTGTGTATCTTACCTCAAAAGGGGAGGCGAGAGCCGGGATTCTTTTTGTATAAATCCTCCCAATAATTGCGTCCAAGGAATCCGTTGATCTGGGGTACGAATACAAAATATGTACAGGTTATGTCCCTTGTGATCAGCAGCCTGCTTCTCACTGACTTCACAGAAAGGGTGTTCTCCTACCTCACAGAAGGGTGTTCTCCTACCTCACAGAAGGGTGTTCGCCTATCTCACAGAAGGGTGTTCACCTACCTCACAGAAGGATGTTCGCCTATCTCACAGAAGGATGTTCGTCTGTCTCACAGTGGGTGTTCAGCTATGTTGCAGAAGGATGTTCGCCTATCTCACAGAAGAATGTTCGTCTATCTCACAGAGAGTGTTCAGTTATGTCGCAGAAGGGTGTTCAGCTATGTCGCAGAAGGGTGTTCGCCCATCTCACAGAAGGGTGTTCACCTACCTCACAGAAGGATGTTCGCCTATCTCACAGAAGGATGTTCGTCTGTCTCACGGTGGGTGTTCAGCTATGTTGCAGAAGGATGTTCGCCTATCTCACAAAAGGGTGTTCGCCTATCTTACAGAAGTGTGTTTGTCTATCTCACAAAAGGATGTTCGCTTATATGAAAATGGTGTTCGCCTATCTCACAAAAGGATATTCGCTTATGTAAAATGGTGTTCGCCTGTCTCACAAAAGGATGTTCGCTTATATAAAAAGGGTGTTCGCCTAGCTCAAAGAAGGGTGTTCACCTGTTACTCGTTCACCTCAGACGCCTGGACATAACTTAAACATTGTTCGAAGCGTCGTTAAATATAAAAGGTCAACACCAGAGATCACTCTGTCTCAGTCATCTGCAGAAACTGTTTCGTTGGGTGCAAACCAATGTTGGGAACAATGTATGACTGCATCAAACTGCTGCAGGTTACATATTGAAGTTAAGGGTGTAACATAGAGTTTTCTAACTCACACGTGACTCAACAGACGAAAGCTTTTAGAGATATATGTTTGCTGACAGTTACAATAATGTCAAATAAACGTATTTCACAAACAAATAAAGTAGTAGTAAGACAAATGAAGTTAAGGGTCAAGCTTTTAGAGATATACGTTCTTTGACAGTTACAATAAAGTCAAATAAACAAATACAGGTACTTGGAGAAAAGACAAATGAACTTACTTTAAGTGAGTGTGATAGGTTTGCCAGGCGGCCTGAATGCAACCTCGAGGACACACAAACATATATATACTCTCAAGGTGACGATAATGAGCAGATCCTACCGCCCACAGATTAACAACCGTCAGAGTTCCCATACACACAATGACTTTTCAACTTCTTTAAAGATATCTAAAAACAGTTACACATTGTACAACACCAGATAAGCTTGTTGTGGTTAAAACACCAGATAAGCCGGTTGTGGTTAAAACATAGTTACACATTGTACAACAGCAGATAAACTTGTTGTGGTTAAAACACAGTTACACATTGTACAACACCAGATAAGCTTGTTGTGGTTAAAACACAATAACACATTGTACAACACCAGATAAGCTTGTTGTGGTTAAAACACAGTTACACATTGTACAACACCAGATAAGCTTAATTGTTGTGGTTAAAACACAGTTACACATTGTACGACACCAGATAAGCTTGTTGTGGTTAAAACACAGTTACACATTGTACAACACCAGATAAGCTTAATTGTTGTGGTTAAAACACAGTTACACATTGTACAACACCAGATAAGCTTAATTGTTGTGGTTAAAACACAATTACACATTGTACAACACCAGATAAGCTTAATTGTTGTGGTTAAAACACAATAACACATTGTACAACACCAGATAAGCTTGTTGTGGTTAAAACACAATTACACATTGTACAACACCAGATAAGCTTAATTGTTGTGGTTAAAACACAGTTACACATTGTACAACACCAGATAAGCTTGTTGTGGTTAAAACACAGTTACACATTGTACAACACCAGATAAGCTTGTTGTGGTTAAAACACAATTACACATTGTACAACACCAGATAAGCACAATTAATTGTTAAGTGGTTTAAAACACAGTTACACATTGTACAACACCAGATAAGCTTGTTGTGGTTAAAACACAGTTACACATTGTACAACACCAGATAAGCTTGTTGTGGTTAAAACACAATTACACATTGTACAACACCAGATAAGCTTGTTGTGGTTAAAACACCAGATAAGCCGGTTGTGGTTAAAACATAGTTACACATTGTACAACACCAGATAAGCTTGTTGTGGTTAAAACACAATTACACATTGTACAACACCAGATAAGCTTGTTGTGGTTAAAACACAATTACACATTGTACAACACCAGACAAGCCGGTTGTGGTTAAAACACAGTTACACATTGTACAACACCAGATAAGCTTGTTGTGGTTAAAACACCAGATAAGCCGGTTGTGGTTAAAACATAGTTACACATTGTACAACACCAGATAAGCTTGTTGTGGTTAAAACACAGTTACACATTGTACAACACCAGATAAGCTTGTTGTGGTTAAAACACCAGATAAGCCGGTTGTGGTTAAAACATAGTTACACATTGTACAACACCAGATAAGCTTGTTGTGGTTCAAACACAATTACACATTGTACAACACCAGATAAGCTTGTTGTGGTTAAAACACAATTACACATTGTACAACACCAGATAAGCCGGTTGTGGTTAAAACACAGTTACACATTGTACAACACCAGATAAGCTTGTTGTGGTTAAAACACCAGATAAGCCGGTTGTGGTTAAAACATAGTTACACATTGTACAACACCAGATAAGCTTGTTGTGGTTAAAACACAATTACACATTGTACAACACCAGATAAGCTTGTTGTGGTTAAAACACCAGATAAGCCGGTTGTGGTTAAAACATAGTTACACATTGTACAACACCAGATAAGCTTGTTGTGGTTCAAACACAATTACACATTGTACAACACCAGATAAGCTTGTTGTGGTTAAAACACAATTACACATTGTACAACACCAGATAAGCCGGTTGTGGTTAAAACACAGTTACACATTGTACAACACCAGATAAGCTTGTTGTGGTTAAAACACCAGATAAGCCGGTTGTGGTTAAAACATAGTTACACATTGTACAACACCAGATAAGCTTGTTGTGGTTAAAACACAATTACACATTGTACAACACCAGATAAGCTTGTTGTGGTTAAAACACAATTACACATTGTACAACACCAGATAAGCTTGTTGTGGTTAAAACACCAGATAAGCCGGTTGTGGTTAAAACATAGTTACACATTGTACAACACCAGATAAGCTTGTTGTGGTTAAAACACAGTTACACATTGTACAACACCAGATAAGCTTGTTGTGGTTAAAACACAATTACACATTGTACAACACCAGATAAGCTTAATTGTTGTGGTTAAAACACAATAACACATTGTACAACACCAGATAAGCTTAATTGTTGTGGTTAAAACACAGTTACACATTGTACAACACCAGATAAGCTTGTTGTGGTTAAAACACAGTTACACATTGTACAACACCAGATAAGCTTGTTGTGGTTAAAACACAATAACACATTGTACAACACCAGATAAGCTTGTTGTGGTTAAAACACAGTTACACATTGTACAACACCAGATAAGCCGGTTGTGGTTAAAACACAGTTACACATTGTACAACACCAGAGTATAATATTAGTTTTAAAAGATAGTACATATGCCTTCCCACCACCAGTTCCACCCGTGAAGATCCGGGTCAGATTTAGTCTAATCAACAGTAGCCCATGCGTGTCGTACGTTAGAGGCAACTAACAGGATCGGGTGGTCGGGTTCTGTGACTTGGTTGACACATTGATTGATGTTCATGGGTTGTCTGGTCCAGACTCGATCATTGACAGACCACTGCCATATAGCTGGAATATTGCTGAGTGCAGCGTCAACAAACAACCAACCACAGCACTGAATTCAGCCACCATAACAACCTTACTACGACATTGACAATTATCTAATACAATGTGACGGTATTTATACAGATCATGTTCATGTATTTGCGGCCATGATTCACATTCACGCAAACACAATGCAAACTCTTTTAAATCGGATAACCTATGTAAAAAGTATCCCACTTCCCTCAAACAAAATTCTGACCTCTGAAAATCAAAGGGAGAGCAAATTGTTCGAACTAATACACTAGGACACAAAGATGTGATCATGGAGTTTGTCTCAAGGAGTATCGCCAATCGAGACCGTACGCTATACTCTTCTATAAATAACACATTGCTATTTGTCACAGTTATTTGCTACCCAGGGTAGTACTGCATTCCGTCGAATCTGGATATACACCTGACTGACACTTTATGTTTATCTAGTGTTTCAAAAACGGGCTACAGTTCAGAGATAAACAGATAAAACATATCACATGACTATAGTTGGCATTTCATAAAATATACTTCCCGCTACGCCGTATTACTTAGAGATGGGTGTCTCCTTGGGCACCTGGCCATGCACAACACGATGCCTCTCTTGGCAACGTCTAGTTATAGTATAGATACTGCTTACTAATCATTGGTACCATACAGCAACTGCGTGTTACCAGTCACTGCTGATTTATTTTCCTACCTTTTTTATGGCATTAAGTTCCTTGTACTTACATATTCTACCTGATGAAGGGGTTAACTCCCAAATGTTGTGTTCCTCCTACGGAAGACGTGGACCTCCATAGATTCGGTGCCTAGTGTTTATCATATATTAATGTCACTCCTAATTCACCTGGAGATCAATGGCGATCCTGACCACATGACTACATTGTTGGACTGCATCTTTAAATCGACTTTATCTGGCAATGACATCTTCTCAAAGCTAAACAGTGTCTAGTGTCCTTGAATGTTCTTCAAAGAGTTGTTATTTAAATCTATTTTGAACAGTTGCTTTTAGAAACAGGGTTCCTTTATCAACAGATAAGTGGACTTAAACGATGAAAGGTAAGTTGTGAAAGGTGTAATTTTAGTGGTTTGGGTGAACCGTGCTGAACCTTGCAGTCTTCTTGTGTTTCCCGTGTGTGTGATTGGCGATATGGACAACTCACCTTCGCTAACCGATTACACGATTCTGTTCACCTTAATCAGTGTAATGGAAGCCACACTCGAGGTGGCAAGCGTACAGTCCTATTTCTAATTTCTATCTACGTGCCAAATGCTGTACATTGCTTCTGTTAAGATTCAGTAGAAGTTCACAGCATTGTGTTTTACCAGTAACCAGTGGTGGGGAAGTATTACCATGTAATGCAAGCAGTAAACACCAACATAGGATAATATAGGATAATCAAGTATCGGACGTATAACATACGGCTGTGTGATGATCATAAACTACCGGGCCAAAGAAAGGTTTCCCTTTAAAGTAATTGTATAAAAAACATAACCGCTGGTGCATTCGCCAAAACGCAACATGGCCCCGTTAACAACGCAGCTGTCCGAAATCTTCGTACGAATCGTGTGCATTTTTCACAGCGTTAAAACGCAATTGTGGGACATTAGTCCAAATGCACGTGCAGACGAACACGTGCTTCAAAAACAGCCTACCGCCCTTTCTATGGAACGGCCTTGGCCCGTCTACACCGTCAAGGGATGGCGGTATCAAGTCCAGTCAACTAAATGGGTACGGTGAGTGTGTTTACCGTATCAAGGCCTGTCAGCTAAATGGGTACGGTGAGTGTGCTTACTGTATCAAGGCCTGTCAGCTGAATGGGTACGGTGAGTGTGCTTACCGTATCAAGGCCTGTCAGCTAAATGGCTACGGTGAGTGTGTTGGTTGTATCAAGGCCTGTCAGCTAAATGGCTACGGTGAGTGTGTTGGTTGTATCAAGGCCTGTCAGCTGAATGGGTACGGTGAGTGTGTTTACCGTATCAAGGCCTGTCAGCTAAATGGGTACGGTGAGTGTGTTTACCGTATCAAGGCCTGTCAGCTAAATGGGTACGGTGAGTGTGTTGGTTGTATCAAGGCCTGTCAGCTGAATGGGTACGGTGAGTGTGTTGGTTGTATCAAGGCCTGTCAGCTAAATGGGTACGGTGAGTGTGTTTACCGTATCAAGGCCTGTCAGCTGAATGGTTACGGTGAGTGTGTTTACCGTATCAAGGCCTGTCAGCTGAATGGGTACGGTGAGTGTGTTTACCGTATCAAGGCCTGTCAGTTGAATGGGTAGAGTGAGTGTGTTTAC